GGAAAGTGTGGCTTTTACTAATCCCCTGGTTAAATCCACTGCACAGTCATTTAGGCTTGCTGGGATTTAGCAGGCGCTGTCTGTTAATACTGCAAAGATCGGTATTGTCTTTTTGTGGTGGTTGTTTTCAAAGCAATAACCTGATGTGGCTTTCCTATGACGTGCCCTGTGTCCGAGAGAGAGCAGAGCTTTCACCGGGGCTTGGGGAAAGGATTTCATCCCAGCCATGTCAGCATGGATGGGCAGCATGGGATCCATACCATTCACCACCCATCCTGCCCTCCCTTCCCCCGTGCTCCCAAATATACTCCCACAAATAAATCCAGAAGATTGGCTTTGTGGGGGCAAAGGTTTGGGTGATTCCCAAACCTTTCCCTCTTTGGAAACAAAGTTTGAGCAACTTCTCCCCTTCCCTGGCCCAGCTGGGGTTTCCCGTTTCGGCATCTCCAGGGCTGCTTTTCCCTTTGCCACGGCCGGTTTGTCCCTTACTGCACAGAGCATTGCGCATCGGGGCAAAAAGTCTGTTTCCTGCTGCTTCTAATTTCTGCGCCGTGATAAGAAACCAAAGCGAAACCCTTCGTGGGGCGGCTGGAGAGCCCAGCCCTGCCGAGCACTTAGGAATAGCCTGGCAGCGAGGGCTGAACACTCTGCAGGTTTGTTGGGCATTATATTTTTTTTAAAAAGCGCTGCTCCAGCCGGACTGAAGCCAGCCCCCAGCTCTGCCCTGCATCTGCCTGCAGGTTCTCCCTTTCGCTCTCATCCTCCAGCCCCTGCCCCAGACTGCTTTAGCGCTGCTGCAATGGAGAGAGAAGAAAAGCCTTGGGGAGGGGGCTGGGGGATGCTCCCACTGAGCTTGTGGTTGTCCGCTCTTGCCTCCTAAGGAGGCCGAGACCCCCACAAGGACCCCTCTGCATGAAGCACCAACACCCCCGGGCTCCCCGCAGGACAGCAGTGCTGGGGAAGGAGGAGAAGCAAGTAAATAACAGGAGGGCAGCGCTTGCCCCTGCTTTGCCAAGCCCCGCACAGGACCCGCTGCAGACGGGAGTGTTTGTAAGCAGCATCTTGAGAACATTCCTCCCTCCCGCGCAAGGCATTTCCTGGTGATAACGCACTCCTAAGTAGTGATCTCGCAGCATTATCCCTATTAAAGGGTCATTCGGGGAAAGTGTGATGGAAATTAGAAATTATTCAGGTCTGCCAACAGTATTTAACTTTCAAGCAGCTCTTAATTAGAAGCCAGGAGCCATTTATACAACCACTGAGATTTGCATAAGAATCTACATATAAAACCCAGCAACTGGAAAGATTTAGTGATGATTTTTTTTTTCCAATGGCAAAGCAGCATGCCCAGGTTGGAGAGCTCAAGGCAGGTCCCTGGGTTGCAGCCCAGGCTCTGCCAGTGGTTTTAAGTGTGGCCTCAGGCAAGTGATTTCCTCTCCAAAAGCTGCAATTTTTCTATCTGTAAAATGGAAATCAGCACGGGTCCAAACTTTCTAGGTGGCAGCTTGTGTTTGCAAGAGAAATCTGGCATTGCCAGGTGAGAAACCTTGGAAAAGAAAGCAAAGGAGTCCCTGCACCTGCAGCCTGCTGCTCTCTGGGGATCACGAGCTGCTCCTGAGTCACCCGCAAACTGGGGTTACGGCAGAGTTTCTCTTCAGCTAAAAAACTCCTGTGTGCATCTAGGCTAAAAGCCAAAGTCTGAAAATGAGATGAAAATACCTCCAGGTTGCTCAATCCCTGCTCTCACCTCTGGTTTGGTGGGAGATTTGATGATGGGTTCCAGTTTTAGTTCCTTGCTCCTTTTTCCCTGGCTGGCACCGGGTGTCCAGCAGCCCAGAAACGCGGGGGCCCATCTCTGCCCAGAGCGAGGGCGGAAAGTCAGAGTCGAGCTCCCAGCGACTGATGCTCCTTGCTGGAAGCCACTGGCCAAAACCAGCCCTGAAACCCTAATTATTTTGTTGCTGCACCCTCTAACTGGCTTATTGCTGGAATGCCAGCAGTAGCGGTATGGCTGGGAAATGCTTAACCAGCCGGAAAAAACAACACCTTCTCGCTCTTGCTCTGGTTAACTCTTCTCCTGCCCAGCTCTTGCCTCCCTCTCCCTCCTCTGTCCCCCCTCCCCGTTCCTCTCCTGCCCTGCCTGGGCGTCAGCTCCCTCCGTTCAGCATCGCCCTCCTCTCTCTTTGCTCGCAGCTGGACAAGGGGGACGTGACCGCGCTCAGCCTGCCCTCCACCGCCGGGCACGGTGACACCGATGGCACCGTCTGCCTGGACGTCCCCGATGGCACCCCTGACCCTCACAGGACGAAAGTCGCCATCGAGCACCTGCACCAGAAGATCCTCAAGATCACCGAGCAGATCAAGATCGAGCAGGAGGCTCGGGATGACAACGTGGCCGAGTACCTGAAGCTGGCCAACAACGCGGACAAGCAGCAAGCCTCCCGCATCAAGCAGGTTTTCGAGAAGAAGAACCAGAAGTCGGCACAGACCATCGCGCAGCTGCACAAGAAGCTGGAGCACTACCACAAGAAGCTGAAGGAGATCGAGCAGAACGGCCCTTCCCGACAGCCCAAGGATGTCTTCCGGGACATGCATCAGGGTCTCAAGGACGTGGGTGCCAACGTTCGCTCCAGCATCAGCGGCTTTGGTGGCGGCGTGGTGGAGGGTGTCAAGGGAGGGCTCTCGGGTCTGTCCCAGGCCACCCACACTGCCGTGGTCTCCAAGCCCCGGGAGTTTGCCAGCCTTATCCGGAACAAGTTTGGCAGCGCGGACAACATCGCCCATCTGAAGGACACGTTGGATGATGGGCACCCGGAGGAGGCTTCGCGGGCTCTCAGCGGCAGTGCCACCCTGGTCTCCA